GAGTCAGATTTTCTTGCTAGTGCAGATAAATGCATTGTAAAGTTGCCTGCATAATTATTTCTAAGAGATACATAAGGCAATATTGAGATTCGTAGAACTACTACAATTCGACTCATTGTGGCCGTGTATTCTTATAACATTCTTTAGAGCTAGATGTTCTAATGTCTTAACTACTAACACCGTTTGTAGGTTACCCCAGCGCTACCATTGTTTCGTGAATACGTGACCAAAGGATTATAACCAGGAACATCCTAATAACAGATTTTTCTGATCTCTGATTGGTCAAAAATATAAATGCCGATCAAATCTTTAATTTTGAAAAAACTAGGAAAATCTTTAAGGAGCTTTTCTAGTAACAAGCCCGTTTAGTTTTAAATATATCCCTAACCTAATAATATCATGTATAAGTAATGCCATTTGAGAATCATAGATACACCATAAGTTACTGATTGGTACATATAGTATATATAGTATATATATGCATAAAAAATTTTTTCAGGTTTCATTATTCTAAAAGTGTTTTTCTCAAATTTTGTATATCCAATTCCTGACATACATTATCTTTTTTTTAAATTCTTAATTCAAAAAGTTAACTCTAAGTTACAAATGTGGAGTTGAAAAAGTTCAAATAAAATTGATAGCTATTAAAATCTAAAAGACGAGACAAACTAGTTATAGTTTTAGAAATGTAACCAACATTTATATGTCAACTTAAATATGAAATTGAAAATTCCAAAATACTGTTGAAAGTATTAACAAACTGTTTTTGATAATTTCAGTGTAATATATAAAGAATAGAATTATGCAGCTTGTATTAAGAATAATGTACATATTTACTTTTTATACATCATAGTTCACTTTTATACAACTTCCCTATATATATATATATACCTCAAAACCACTGTTAGCTTCTAATAGGATCATTTCAGGATTGGAAATCTAAAAGCATTATTAAAAATATTCTACTAAAGTGGCCCTCACACCATAGCATCACCAGTTGCGAATAAGAATAGACGTCATAAACTTCTAACGCAACTCTCATACAACTGAGTTGCGAGTTGCGTTGGGAACTCATGACCACTTTCATTATTCACAACTGGTTATCACTAAGGTGTGGAGGTCTAATGGTGAGAAAATTAACTACTAACTAATAGTATAATCGAACAAAGATATTATACACATCTACGTCTGTTTCAAAACACAAACATGCACAGTCCATTTTATTCTTGGGTAGAATATAGAATAATTGAAACTATAGTCAGACTTCTTTTGTGTTCATTTCTACTTATAAACCAATTACTAACAATCCAAACCGCAAAAACAAAACCCAGTAACAGGTAATGAACTTTTCACATGAGGAAGTATGTGAATCATTAGTGAGTAAGAATTTCATAATGAAATGTGGTATCAGGTGTCTAGAAGAGTAAGCATATATACTTATGTCACCTAAATATGAAGTGGATTGTTTGTGTTTGTGTTTTTTTAATGTACTTGGATGTGCATTAATCTCTTTGCCCTACTATATAGCCTACACTAATGATACCAGATAAAGCAATGTTTCAGCAGTCTAAATTTTCTATTACCGTCACCAAATGACATAAAAATAGTGACAATTAAATCATTCTACAATATGTATGATACACGATTAAACAGATTGGAAAGTGTCTTTCTAGCTTTTGTATGACCAGGTGTGAATCCTCATCGCTATGTCGAATTTTGTGTAATACCATGCAAAAGCTACCTTTCTTATGTCATAGAAATTTGTAAATGCAGCAATTAGATTGGATTGTACACTAGCAAATACAACCAATCAGAGGCCTCAGCAAAAAGTCTGTAAATAATTAGACGTAATGTTTACAGTCTTTCTGTCAAGGGCTGTGACTGGTTGTATACGCTAGTGTATAATCCAATCAAATCCCTTCATCTGTGATATAAGAACAATGGTAAAAACAGTCAAGGTATAAGACGAAGTTCATTATAGCCTGACATTGTAAAGATGAGGTGTGACTAGAGGACATGCAGTGTACAATGAGGTTTACAGTCACTAATGATGTCTGCATCATGTACCTCATTTATTCGCATCTTCAAGGGCCCTCAAACCATAGCTATCACCTATTGCATTTAAGATTGTCATATGTTTCATGCAACTGAGTTGTTAGTTGCATACAGTACTCACAGTCACTGTTACTTTTGCACCATACACAACTGGTAATAGCTTTGGTGTGAGGGAACCTTTAAATCAGGGACATATACAAAAGACTAGAAGTCTAGACTAGACTAGAACACAACCTTTCTTGAGCAATACATAACTGCCTAAAATCTTCAAAGCATTAAGCAAGCATTAAACTTCAAATCAAATAAAACATTTAACATTTACATTCACTCCTTGGTCCCATCAAACATTCACCTTATAATTCAACGCTATAACTTTTCTGATTTCTGATATTTTTTTTGTTTTTGTCTTTTTGTAATGTTACTGTCAAATGGCTATGGTTTTACCTTATGCTTAATTAAAACAATAACATAAGAACAAAATATCAGTGATCTTTCTAAATTTAATCAAACTTTATTGAAAATTCAATTTTTGTGCAAAATTGCTGTCCTAATTTTTTTTAAATCCAAGACACTGTTTTGAATCAATTTTCAACTTCAAAATTATGGATTGATATCGAAACATGGCAGCAAAATTGTTTTTGACCACTACATTTTCTGAACTATTCTTTTGAAAGCAAATAACATAATTAATTCTAAACAAAATATAAACTCAGTAAAAACCTTAAGCTAATTCTCGTACACACAATAACCTAGTCCAAAACTTGCTGAACCTTCCAAGATGTTATACTTCAGCAAGTTGGGAACAACAATAATACTCAAAAGATAACCTGAAATAAGGAAGGACTAGAACTAGGAACTGAGACAAACAATATAAAATATATATAACAATATTTACAACCAAGTATTAATTATCTATATTATAAAAACGCACTAGGGTTCGCTCGTGGATCTTTTTGGTTTCGATATCGTAATGCCAACGCAACTCCAATTATCTGAAAAAAAAAGAAAAAAAATTTTTGAATTCATTTTCATAAACATGTGAAACTTCTTACTGATGTATAGGAAGGCTCTATTTGTGAAGGGTATATATGAACGCTAATATTCATATGGGACTATTTTTGTATTAGGTTTATATGAACGGTGATGTATTTTCAATGTTTATAGTTATGTGGTGCTTTCTTTAAGCAATGCGTGATAAAAGCTTTTATGATGTGAAAGTGTAAGGGGAATCGGAAAAGTTGATGGACGAGGGATTTGACATAATGATACAGTACATGCATATTATTATCTTTACAATGTCAAGCTATTATGAGCTGGATTTGATTGGATGTACGCTAAGGAATACAGCCAATCAGAGCTCTCAATATAAAGACATCAGACTTTCTGTCATTGGCTGTATTTGATACCGTGCAATCCAATCAAATCATTTCATATACAAACTTTCCTTTCACATGTACATGAAAAGACCCTAATGAAGTCAAGGTATTAGACAGAGTTCATAATAGCCTGACATTATGAAAATGGCATATATCAAAAATAACTTCATTCTGATTCAAAATAATAATTCTAGCAATACACGTATAACTGATCTCATTTTCCCCTAATTAAAGAGACAGTACATGCAATTTGAAACAAAAATGTTGAGAGTTCATGCAAAAATCATTACTTCATTGCAACTAAATATAATGCATTTACAAATAAATCAAAGAAAGAGAAAATTTCTTTTAGAGATTGTATTAACGAACTTTAAACTTTTTTCATTGTGTAAGTGCAGAAATGAGAAGACTTGAATAACATGGAAACAACTTAGGTTAACAGTGAACAGTGAGGTTATTACATTTAGCAGAACATCAAAGGTTGGATTGATAGAGCACCTTTTCTTTAAACACCTTTGTATTAGGTTCCTACATTTCTAAAATATGGACATTTTAAACACAATGAGACAAATATGACACAAGTCCGTCGTAAAGTTTTTCCTTTGGAACATTTAATCATTTTTATATGCTGAAGGGAAACTATTGACATGGGTACATGAGAGAAAATAAATGAATATTAATTCATTATCTAATGATTTCTTAAATGTTGAAATGATACATAGAATATAGAACAATTTAACATTTTAAATAGCTGAAATTAATATTAAAATCTCTGTCCTGCAATAAACTTTAAGAAAATAGAATAATGTTTATAACAAGTGTAGGGAGTGAGTCAACTATAAAATGGAGAACTGGCTATAATTGAGACAGAATGAAACAAGGGACAGACATTTTGAAGACTAATATTCATTTGTAAAAATGTTTTCTAAACTGCATGTATTAGGGACTCTGATAGCATGAATTTACTCCATTCAAATTTTCAGTCAGATTTCTGTTATTCTTGCAAATGAAATGAATGCAGTTTCCTGCTTTTCTGCACCATGTGGGCTTATGACGACGTGCAACGCCATGCAGGGTACAATGAGTGAAATTTTGCCAGGACAGCAGTATTAGCCTGCTCTTTTTAGATTTCCAACTGTCGAGGGATTTAATGCGCAGTCTGTAGCACACGTGGCCTCATTTTATTGTCCAATCTGAAAGACTAGATGTCAGCCTCACTTACCTGCATCACTGACGGGGAAACCACGTTGAAAAATCCGAAGGTATTATCTCAACCTATGTTGGGATTGAACCCTGGACCTTCAAGTTAGCGAGCAAGCATATTACTTACTGAGTTAGAGTTCCAACCAAATACCCAATAAACATAAAGAGTTCAGAAATTCTCTTTACAATCCCTTTAATAATAATATTAAATTTTAATTTGAGATTCACGAATAAAGTCTTCAAAGTCTGTCCCAAAGGAGTTTAAATACAGAAAACTAAAAGCTAAGCCATCACCGAGATGTTGTTACGATTAGTATCAAATGACGTTAGTACCTTACGCTATATATACTTAGTATCAGACTAGCATTATAGAAAAGCGCTTGGATTGGCCCGTGGATCTTTTTGGTTTCTGTATCGAACAGTGATCCAAACACCTATAATCTGAAATTAGGGCACAACATTTCATACACATCAATATAAGACTTGAAAAACAATAATTGAATAATTCTATTCAACATCTGCTGTCGTCTATTCTTTCATTGAATAAATTGGAAAGAAAAAAAGATTTTTATGGAGAATGGATAAAAAATAATGAATTGATAAGGTTTTAAGCCAAAATTGCCAGATAACAAACTGAATATGAATGTTTGGTAACTAAAAATTAATTTACTGTTAGACATTTTCAATTTTATGATCAGAAAGAACAAGCTGACAAGTTTCATCATTATTCTGCTAATTCAGGTATCTTTTCAGTAAATTTCAATCAGGAGAAATGCATTCAACTATCCAGAGTATTCTTGATAAATCTATTTAGTGGATAAATGCAAAACTTTTTCACAACTTAAAGGAATTTCAAAAGCAAATTCTGGAATTTTGGAAAGTACAGGATTAATTTTGTCACCTCATCCAAATGTGGGCAAAGAAATGTAATTTTGGGATCAATGAAATCCTGTATGAAAATCAATAATTTTCTCAATTTGGTAATAATGCATTTGACTGCAAAAAGTTATATTCCAAAATTTTTTTTTTTTTTTTTTCGGATTTCCTGAATTAGTTAGAATGCTTTTAACTGTAATTACACTAATCATAATTACTTTTATTCAACTCTGAATATGAATTTTATGAAAGGCACAAATAAAATCTAAGGGAACTATAAACCAATACTAATTGGTAATCTAATGTAAACTAAGGGGTAGTGAACTGTGATATAACAAAAAAAAATGTCTAGAGAATACAGGTCAAAATATAAAATTTACCTCTGTAAAACTGAAGAATAAGCCAACTCCTCCAGTCACTGAAAATGCTGAGTATATAGTCGTTCTTAGTTTATCATAACACGTGCTGCAAGGACAGTCAGCAACAGTGTCATTTGTCTGCTCTCCTGAACAACAATATGCTTTCGGATGACCTTTACAACAATCTACATTCTGAAAACCAAATATGAATATGTGGAATTACTGATAGAGATACCACTCCTCATATCACAAGGAAATATTTATTTGCATGTGTATTGTGATATCCAGTTCAACAAATATGATTCCTGTTGGAGAAACTTAACCAATTTATGCCATTGGTACATAAAACATATAACTTGATAGATAATAGTGTTATATGCATTGTTGACACTAAGCAAAAAAGAAAGAAAAAAAACAAACTATATTTTACTAAGATAACAATTTGAGTTCATAATTAAGGATCCTTTCTATCAGCTGGTCTTTGGACAAACCTCTTGGCATTGATCTTTTGACTGGAATCATGAGTGAAGATGTCTTATTCAAGGTCATCAGACTTTTACACGCTGATCGTGAACCCATAGCTGCCATTTGCTTGACGTAACCAAGTAAATGACATCACATAAAGAACCACTGCTCTAACTGACTGTGATATGGAACCTCAAAAGTTAAGAATGAATTTAACTTCATGTATGCCATTGATCGCATACTTAATGATCAGATTGTCAACGTCTGATGTTACTCCACAACTGAGCTTATTAACCATCACTCATTATAGGGAGTCCACATGGCTAATATTGTTTTGTGGTAAAGTATATTCATTACCAATTACTAAAATTGACTTACACCACAAGGAGGATGATTTAAAGGTACATGGTGTTGTTTAAATCCACAGCAATTGAAATTGTCCTGTACATTAGTTCTAGTTGCATTTGAAGCATATTTCCAACCTCTTTCAGCTAAATCATCTTTCTGATCAGGATTCACAGCTAAACAAGCACAGGCCAGAGAAAATTGTAACAAAAATAACAGGAATAATATTATCATATACTGAAGCATTGGTTAAGGAATTTTGTTGATATTTTTAAATATCATTAAATAATGAATTCATTTGCTCACTTTATGGAACCTTTGATGTCAATCAGTGTTTCTCAACTCTCCATTCCTTGTCAAATCTTCAAATCTAAAGGAATACTGATTTCTCGATAAATCTAGTGAAGATCAAGATTTCTAGATCAAGATCACTGAAAATCAAGGAATGGAGTGAGACTGAATATATTACAGTTTTAAATTGACACTATCATGATTACATGACTGACTGATAAAAATTTAAGGCTGATCAATAAAACCAGTTAGTAACTGAGCAATAAAATCACAAATATACTCAAAACAAGTCAACCATTCATGCAGAAAGAATACATAACATCTAATGTTAACATTAGAGTTGTACAAGTAGCTTGGGGATATTTTCACTCCAAATTGAATTTTATATTATCATGAAATCATAGTAAGGTATAATAAAGCCCATGACATTAGGCTATGTAAATTAGAAATTATCCCTAACCTTGTTTCATCACTCCAGTGAACATCCAAACTTTATTTGCTCATTTTTTGGAACCTTTGTATGCCAATCAATGTTTCTCAACTCTCCATTCCTTGTCAAATCTTCACATACATATATTTTGGTGAAAGGGGTTAAAAACCAAAACTTGGACAACTCTAGAAAGCACTGGCAAGGCATCAGAAATTGAAGAGAGTGTGACAATACGGCACCTCTTTGCCAATCAGAAGACAAACATACTGAGCTATTCCAATGCCTCATTTTGGTATTTTATTCAATTTTAAAGGAATGGAAGGACATATCAGACAAGCCTGAATATTCACAATATGTTTTCCGAAAGGATACAAAAAATAAAAGAACTTGATGATGCTTAATGGATCCAACCAGACCAATTAAAGCAATGAAAAATAATATTACACCACATAATATTAAACTACCAACTAGAGTTAAACTAGTGACTATAGCAGCAACTCTTCCATAAGCTGCAACACCAATTAATATTATAGACACCAACTGAAATATACAAATATGGTTATGAAATAAATTAAAGGCATTGAATGTGTAATAGGGATGCTGATTGATTTGCATCATTCCAATATTCAGTCAAATGTCTGTGGTTCTTGCAATTCCACAAAGAACTAATGAAAGGCAATTTTAAAACAGACATCTGAAAATTGGAAAAAGTCATATACATTGCCTTTCAGTTCCATTCAAATAATCAAGAACAGCATGATTCATGTTCAGATTTGTTACCAATGTTACTAATTATGCAAGATATTACATACTTTGAGAATTTGCTTTCTCAGTCTTTGAATCTGAACATGAGAGAACTAACAATTTTGTTAGATCATGGATGACAAGTGTAGTCTAGTGCTCAAAAACACAAGAAGAAAAATCCAGATTTGTATCTTAATCTGACTGCTTACTGATTATGCATGTATCAAGATAAAATATACATTCAGAGACTAATGAGTCTGTAAGTTAAACAACATACAGTTTTTACAGTAGTTATTTAGTATTGATTAGTATTAAAATAGTTTTGTCCACACTGAGCAAGAAATGAAATTATGTTGACAACATCTGTTTCAATCAACTGATCATTACTAAACACCTGCTACCAAATAGATACTTGTTACTAAAACTCTTATTTTCACACTTGACTTTTATGTTTTGATAAGAAAATTTCAAGATAAGGACTCTTGCTTTTATGAGATAACAATTTCTGACTCTTATTTCTGATTCTAGGCATTTGTTTTATTTCTTTTTTTTTTAAATATTATTCACAATAAGTAAGACAATTTTATGGAAGGATAATTTTAGAATATTTATTGCTTTCTACTTTTCAATGTGGTTCTCACAATCATTATATTCCTGATGACAGTCTGAGAACCAAATTGAAACATTTTTAAACCAATAAATAAGCTTAGTCTAGAAGTATCCATCCATAATAATTGTCTCATCTGTAACTTGTGCTTCTAATATGCCATTGAAGGATTAATATTCACATTACACAAGAACTCTCATGGCATACAGTGAAATTTAAATGAGGAGATATCATCTACAAATTCAGTGGTAACTTTATACTTGAAGCAGATGTTTTTATATACCATACCAGTAACATTTAACAAAGCTTTAAGTTTTAGATCATTGAAGTAATACTGAATAAATAGCAAAAACACAATCATTGATCTCTGACAATAAATTGCATAATGGAAGCTAGGTTACTATGGTAATGGATTTATATAAGCTTTTAAAGCTTGTTTCCAAAACCATATGTATATATATATGTATGTAATATTTGTAATTCTTGAATAAATATTGTTTAAAAAAAAAAATATATAGTTTACAAATTTTTTTGAAACATTGGACATAAAATAACGTGAATTTATAAAAGCTTTAGGTTTATTCTAATACTGTACTCCACTGGCAAATTGTAGTTCTAAGGAAAGTCTAGCCATCTGTGTTTTACTGATCAATAGGATGAAACATAAAATGAACAAATGATTACATCAATAAATTTGTCCAATACAATAAATAGTCTAATTTAACATTGATGTCTTGTGTTTTTTTTATAAGCTGATATCAGATAATCTACAAAGATGTCATGTTGCATGGTCTTATCATGAAATACACACTTAATCCATATGACAAAACATTTCCATTTAAACAGGAAATAATAGACAATTTCACTTGAAATCACATCTTATTTTAAATCCTAAATGCATCTCAGAGATATTCATTTGCTTATGATTTATATTGTAATTTTATAACCTGTGGACAACTTGTAGCTATAATGTCCCAAAGCTCTTAAAAAATACTAATACATAAGCTTATACCGGTACTTGTATATCAAAGGCATGGTTAGCCCCTTCAGTCTTATAAGCTTACTCAAAATATAAAAGCCTAATTAATAACTGTGTTGAAATCAACTTTTAGAGAAAAAAAAGAGTTTTTATACCGGTATACAGATAATAAATAATGGAATTAAGCATAAAACGTTTCAACACAATTTACAAGCCTTACTTATAATATGTCGTAATTGTGATATGTTCTCCTTGTTTCTAAATGTCATTCTAGTCTGGTAATAATGGAGTAATTTTCGAATTGAAATATCTTTGACAGACTCATATGACAGAATATCAAATAATGTTGACAAGTTTATTCTCAAATTGGACCTGAAGCTATTTTATACATGCAATAACACACTTTTCTCATGTTATTAGTTTTCAATGTCCTGTAGATTTTAGCTAGATCAAAGAATACATGGAATCAGTGACCCATTTAGTGGTTAATTACAATAAAATAAAAATGTCCATTATTCCTAAATTGCCTTTTAGAACATTGTTAGCATTTGCGAAATTATAGGAAGAGATGTTCAAACATAAAGGGCGAGAACATTTTTGCTGAGGAAATTTTGAAGCATATCTAGGCCTGGCAAAAATCTAGTCTTATTTTGTCATAATAAATGTGACATTGGAGACTATAATCGATGTCCTACAATACTCAACTACAAAAATGATAAAGCTTATCTTTAACTCACAAGCAACTTATTATTGATGGTCACAAAATGAAATCTGATCATTAAGAACAATATGCCTACCTCTCAAGTCTCAACACCTTAACTGTAAAGTAAATCCATTGTTTTATGAGGCCTAATAACTTTTTCGACAAGCAGAAGTTGCCCTGCCAGAGATCAAAATGAGTGTCAAAAATAGCACCAGGATCAAGTGCCTTTGCTTTCCATTTTTCATTGACAAAGTGTATAAGATTCCCTTTTTCATACTTACGATGTACAACACATTCAAAGCAGCGAGTGTATTCTTAGAACAGGTAAACCCGCCGCACACCATTTCGGGTTTTTATTAGCGTATTTAACCAATTTGTCCAAATTGATAAAATAATGATCATTCAATATTTTGTCAACGATGTCGGCTGTCTGACTAATTGAAAGCCAACTTCTGTAGTTTCGAATTGTACCTTCACTTGATATTTTAACCAAATAAATCGAATACATTGCAAAAATATAAAGTTCTAAAGGCCAAAACGTACTTCCTAAAATTTGGGCATGATTTATACTTTCAAAATGATAAAATTTCAAGATTTAACAAACCTAGAGCTAGAACATAAATTTTCGCATCTGCACCTAAACCTTAAGGGGAGCTAATCTTAGTTCACAGTGGTAATGATGAAACTTTATTAGTTATGTAAAATATACTTTTGGTTTTATTATAGAAAATAACAAATATGCTAAAATGACAGATAAAGATTCCGATCTAAGCAGTGGTGTTCTTATATCACCTACCCAGCAAATGCTGTCATCGTGTTCAGGGGCTGTTTTAACTTCTATTTTTGGTAAGATAAACCCTTACACTCTTCCACTGGCTCCAGTTCCTATTTTCAATGATGTTGCATTTTCATTCCATTCAGTCATTTTCTAGTTCTGAAACTCTAACATAAATTTTAAAGTTGGTGGAGATTAAATTTTAATTATCTTAGATAACAGTTATTATTCACCTTCTAGATCATTTTGTTTTTAAAATTCTGTAATATGCAACAATGCTTTGCACTGTTGCACTTTCACCCTGCCTATCTTCCTGTTGAGCTATCGTCCTGAAACTTAACAGAAAGGCACTGACACATGTTCTTAATATTCACTGCCAATTTCAGACAATTCTAATGCTTTCTTCCATTCTATAAAATTATACTATGGTTGGACTAGTTACGTAAATGTATGAAGGTAAAAGTATGAAAGGATCTATATGAAATGTTCTGTAAGGATTTTGGTATATTCTCCTTTAATTTTGATAAATTTTTATTTTTCAGTAACACCGCTAGATGTAGTAAAAGTCCGACTACAAGCTCAACAGAATCCTACAGCAAAATGTTCAGTTTTCTTCAATGGGTTGATGGATCATATTTGCGAACTGTGTGGAAAAAATGGGCACACAGCATATTCACATGGCTGGACTAACACAAATCCAGCTCGTTATTCTGGTACCTTGGTATGGTTTTGTGATTTAAAACTAGTTAATTTTAAAAACGATATCTAAAAAAAACATAGTAGACTAATTTTTGCTTACAAAGTTCCTGTTTGTTTCCTGGACCTCAAGAAACTTTGATATCATTAAAATGGCAGCCTTTTATTTGTATATTTGCATAATTTTATTAACCTTAGCTTTATCTTTGAAAGAAAAGTTTTTTTTATGAAATCTTCTAATTTTATATATTGGTTTACTTTGTTTTAGGATGCATTTAGACAAATCTTTAGAAGTGAAGGTATTGGTGCATTTTGGAGTGGATTATCACCAACTTTGTGAGTATTAACAAATTGTGACACATTTCTAGATTTAGAATAAAATAATGATGGATGAATCCAATGAATTTGTAATTATGACCAAATGCCAAAATCTGTTTTACTGCATGCAATGGAAAAATAAATCATCATAAGAAGATAACCCAAGCCTGAAAAATACAAGTACAAATACTCAGAGGCTTGATCAAAGACTATTTGACAGGCATGGGCTCAAGTAAGTCTTTAATCCTTCATATCTTTTTTTCTTATAGAGTGATGGCTGTGCCAGCTACTGTGATATATTTTACCTGTTATGAACAATTAAAAGGTGTTTTAAGATATCGGCAATCTGTCCTTGGTGATTGGTGGAAACCAATGATGGCTGGGGTTTTAGCAAGAGGTAAGAGATATTAATACCAAATCCAAAAACTACATATGTGACAAATTAACCATATTTTTTCAGAAATTTTTATGCCATCTTAAAGATATATGAATTTCGTCAATTCAAAAAACCATTTCATCCACGAAAAATCTGAATGATATTCTCAAGATAAGATACAGAGCAAATTACCCACTGACATGTTATTGGAATTGGATTTATTCAGTGCAGCATTTTCGCAGCTTATCAAAATTTCAGGTTAATTCAGAACGATTAAAAAATCCAATGAATTCTTTTTCAGTGTTTGCTGTTTCTGTGATTAGTCCATTAGAGCTAGTGCGTACCAAACACCAGTCCGAGAAAATGACATATAGAGAAATATTCACAGCTTTATTACAGAGAAGTAGACAACGTGGTGTGATCTCATTATGGATTGGACTCGGATCTACTTTACTCAGAGATGTGCCTTTTTCAGGTTGGATTCTTTTTGTCCTGACCTATATTAATTGAGCAAATCTTATACATAATATGTTAATTTTTTCATCAGGGTACATTTCGTTGTATGGATTTGAACCCTTGTACTGTATATTAATGGCCCTCTTCTGGAGATAAACCCTATCACAACAAATTCGCAATAACAACATTATAAGGAGAAATTCATCAAAAGTCAAAGACCTTAAAATGTTGGATTGTCTAATTTGAATCCCAAGCAAACAAAATTGTATTTTTGCAGTCAGTGCTTCAGTATTTTTGATTTGTTATCAGCCCTCAAACCAAAATACAAAGTAACTCCCTCTTTATTTTTCAGCGGTTTACTGGTTATCATATGAAAGTGCCAAATCAAAAGTTTTACGAACTAGAGGTTCAAGTGAATTAAGGCCGTTTGAATCCTTTGTATCTGGAGCTGGTGCAGGCTCAGTAAGTTAACTCCCTTGTTTCTTTTTTATGTTTTTAGTAACTGACAAATATTCATGTAATTCTTCTGTTGATAGGGTATAAAATCCTAGTTGATCATGACTATTTGGTTTTTCATCTTAAAAATTATTTGAATAATGGGCATATAGCCATAATGAATAATAAGTGTGATATAATTATAACATTAAAATAATATTCCAAATTTTAGAAATTTTTTGTGAAACAAAAGCTGATCAATCTTTCTCTTATTATCATGTTTTTCTTATGTTTGATACTTTGTCTTATCTTTGTAGATAGCAGCTATTATAACTAATCCATTTGATGTGATAAAGACTCACCGACAAATTCAGTTAGGGGAGATTCCCTCAGGTATAGTAATTAGTGATCCTGATGCTTCTAGAATTTTCAGAGCAGGACATATTTTCAGTGCATTGAACTGCTTTGATTTGTGTTCTAGATCACAGAGAACTGAATTAATGAGAAAATATTTGATGGAACAACCAATATTTTGACTTATTGAGCACATACAGCAAAATCAAAAACTTTCATCCAATATTTCTTTTTTGGAATGATGGTTTCTTGTGAAAAGTTCTTTATGATCATTAGCCATTATTCATTATCATAATTTTATAATAATTCGAGCAATAAGTTTGTAATAATAATAATAATTGTTTTCTGGTTTACAGATAAGAAGGCTGGTATATCGACATGGAGGTTAATAATACAACTATGTCGTCAAAATGGTTTCTCTTCGTTATTTTCAGGTAAGGTTATCTTTTTTATATGAATAAGTAGCAAGGAGAAATTAAATTCTTTTCGTCACAGGTTTAATTGGTGGTGTACCATATAACAGAACATTTTAATGATTTTCACAAAACCTTGATTATAGAATAAGACTTCAGGCATTTCTTGGTTCAAATATGGTGAAAGTGACCCAGGGGTTTGTTTCACAATATTTTAACTAATCATACAATCCAGATTTTAAGAAATTTAGTCATCTGAATGCTTGATACAATTGAATTTCAAATGAACTTTACCAATCATATATCTTCGTCTTCAGTTAAATTTTGTGAAACAGGCTCTTAAAGACACTCAGATAATATGTAGATTTCTATGTAAAGACATTAGATGCTCAATAATGATTTCTATGTTATTTTTCAGGTATTGTTCCTAGGATATTTAAAGTGGCTCCAGCTTGTGCCATTATGATTACATCCTATGAATATTTAAAAACTAAATTTTATGTTGCAAATCAAAAGAAAAGTCTTCACATTCATTGAATTCTGTGATGTATGTGTGGATAAGAGTGTATTTTTCTAAGAGAAATCAATATCTAGTAATCAATTGAAATTTAATAATATAATTTGGGCCTGTTTGAGCTTATGACAATTCCATGAAGTGAGCAATGATGGAAATTTTCAAGACAGTGGCATTAGCCTGCTCTTTTTCTATAACCAACTGTCAAGGGATCTTTAATGTACACAGCCTGTAGCTTATTGGGTTTTAAGTTATTATCCCGTACTAAACGAATCAACACCAACCCCTTTGACCTGCATCACTGACAGAGAAAAGCTGGGTTGAATAATCAGAAGGTACTTCTTCCTTTGCTGGGATTGAACCCTGGAGCCTCAGGCTAATGAGTAAGCGAGTGTCTACCTCACCAAGTCAGAACTAGTCTCTGTGGCAATGAAGGCTACAATGCTTTGTCATTATATTTTGAAGGATTTAGGGTAGTTGCTAACTTCGATTTTATCAATGAATTTTATTGTTATTATATTGTATATTGTTGGGTATTGATTCTGTTTTTTGGGATATTGACTGTTGAATCGGTTTTATTCATCATATTGATGATATAATTGTCAAATTAATGAATGCAAACTTGACAGTAGACCAAGAAACTACTGGCCTTTTAATTTTCATCAAGTAAGTAATATCTGGAATAATTTATTAGCAACAGTTTTCAAGTATTTCAATATCACTCTAAAATTGATGTATTGAGCACTCTTTTAACAGTAAAAATATTTTGTTATTGTAAATTTTGATATGATATAGACTATTCACTGTTACTAAAGGAATATTGAAAGGTGATCTGCCTATTCAAGGGATTATTTACCTCTGTAACCTGGTGCCTTATTCTTGATTTCTTAACTTAAATGATTTTAGTGTTAAAGGGGTTGTATTTTTAATGAATAATTTGGGATGAGTGACATCATCGAAGATTGTTTGTGGAATTGCAGGAACGACAGGCATCTGATTGAAAACTGGAATGGTGCAATTTGATGCTATCAATGTCTTTGATACACATAGACATTTTAGAAAACCTCTTGACGACCCCTTTAAAGTAATGTATGTTTGCTATTTGTTGATTGTTATTAATGGAAAAATTTATACAGGTATAATTGAAGATTTCTGATGTTTGTCTTATTTAAAAAAATAAACTTTGAACATCTCTAAATATGCTTTCATTTAAAGACTGATTGCATTTTTATGTAATTTACTTCATTAATTCATTGATCATAAAACCAATTTGTGTGATAAATTTTTATGTCCTTGTTATTATGATCATTAATTGAATTACCATTGTATATTGTGTATATATTTTACTATGTAAAAATCTGCAGAAACCAATGGAAATAAATCATATTTGAATTGTAATGAGTTTAATAGTACTAACAATAAGCAATGTAGCCAACTCCCAGTAGTGTTATCACCTAAGGCCCTTTGCGATTAGTGACATCATAAAACGCTTAGTTTCAGCGAAAATTGCAGGAACCACAGACATCCAATTGAAAATTTAAATGGTGGAAAGCGATGCTCTCAGTGTCCTGGATACACATACAAAATTTAGAAAACCTCTTTACAATCCCTTTAATAATGAGAGAGATAGTATATAGAAAGGGGTTGTAAAGGTGATTTCTTAACTTTTTATGACTATCAGCGCTCTTCTGTCAGATGTCTCTGTATGTAAAGTGATATACATAATAGGTATTCAATAATATAACATTTCACACATAATATTGATGTAGAGCTGCTGTCTCCGTGAGTCACTGACATACTGAGCATGAATTTAGAATTAGTACATAAAGCTGAGCCTTTTAGACCTTTATCAATAATAAACAAGGTAATAAGGATGATATACATTTATGAACACATTACATGAACCAAGACAACATTCACAAAGACTTTTCCATTCTCTTCTCTTTAGCTGTTTTCTTCTTAACCGTTTCTTCTGATCCGAACATTTCACTGATGGTAGGTGTTGGTTTAATAATAGAATTTTCCAAAGAAGTTAAAATATAACATAGTTCTGGTTTTGTATTGTTCGTGGGATATGGAGCATTTTTAGCTCTAAAATAGTCTGAAGGTGCATGACACACAAATTCCATAAATTCAAGTTTTCTTGGAAGATCTTCCTCTGGTCCTGAAAATATAAAGGAAAACTTTAAATTCGAAACAATCCAATTGCTACTTTTGGAAAAGAACAAGAAGAAAAAAGCAGTGATGGAGTGATAAAATTTCATTGTCTTCTACACTTAATGATTTCATATATTTCACTTTCTTGTTGATATCCCATGCCGTAAAGGTTACCCAGTTTCATCAGCAGATCTTTATCATTTTACCATGGCCGTTGCTTGAGATAATTTTTAATAAAAATATTCACTTCAATATAAAAATCTTACCCAGAATATAAGTAGATGGGTCAAACCTATCTGAAGGGCTGGATTGTGTTGGTAATAACCAGGTTATTACAGCACTCTTTTCATTATATTGATCTTGAAGAATCCTCGAAGTTGGGCATAAAATACGCCTCCACCGTGTCTACTAATGATACAATATCACCAACTTGAAAATACATTTCCTGGAGATAATCCTGCCTAATTCAATTCTGAATCTCAGAATTGTCCTAAGGTCCCGGTATCTTAATTGTCTTTGACAGGAAACAATTTGTTGTACATTGGTAAAGCGATGAAGTGATATATGCAAATGGCATGGGCTTCAGGCAATTTTAGCAGTAGAAAAAATCCCAACCGAAATAAATACCCTTACATCAGGGAACACACTCTCTCCCCTGACCACAGTAGCAAGGGGGCTTTTAAGGGTGGCGGGAATGAAAAATCCAGTTTTATTTAATGAAATAATAAAAGTAAAGGGCAATTTTGGGGATTAATAAGGGACAGGGACTCCATGTCATACAGACAGTAGGCAGTTTCAACCCCCCCCCCCCCCCCCACCCTCAATCCCCTCCCATTTTTTATGTTCCACACTTTAGAGATTACCTTAATAAATCATGACTTTATTTCAGTGCTAAATTTCAAATTACAAGTGCGGAAACTTACTGTTTTCTTGAAAATTATTCTCCTTCCTTTCCCCTTCGAAGACAGAGGTTTGTGGGAGCCAGCAAATCGGTGCTTAGATGGTTTGATTCTGGAGCTCTTTCTCACAGCATTTTGATTTGATGATGAGCCATTATTACGTCCATTGCCATTACTACCATTATTCGATCCATTTCCAGTTCCATTCCCGCCATTGCCAGTTTTATTATTACATGAAAGGCAAAGAATTTCTCCCTGTGGATTCTTTTTCCACAAATTTGACGTCGTAGTTTTACAAGAGATGCAAACTGGCTTTAATCCGAGAGGCATAATGCAAATTCTTTGTCTTTTAAATAACCTTACAGCTTCTTGTTTACTTTTTGTGAATTTTATCGGCCATCTTTTTTTCATGGAACACGATTTCTACTCTCATACATAGAAGATTTAACATGGGAGTTAACTCTGATCGATTCAAATCGACTCAGACAGCATTTAAATTGTATTTTTCAAAACAAAAACCCTCATATTACTAATTCTGAATCAAATATATAGTTTTCAAGTTACGATTACATTAGGGATTTATTTAATAAGTGATATTTAGCATTATCACTGAAATAGAAAAATAATTTGTGAAATGGGAAGTAACTCTTCATATCAAAATCCACTCAGACAGAATTTAATTGATTATTTAGTGTCTCACTAAGTTTTCCAGCAAGGTGATTTTTTCTGAGTTAACTTTTTATCGATTATGAAAAAGGATTACGTTGGTTTGAAATGTTATACATTGTGCATAAAAAACATGTAGCCTAAGAACTTTTTATCCCCAGAGATTGCCAGAGAGTTAATTGTCAGAAAAGTTGAAACATTCCAGATACATCGGTTTTTATATTGACTAGGCTACTTGAATATTTCATGACATTAGGCTATAACTATAATGTGGATGCATGTCTCAATTGAAATGCGCACGTGACTAACCGTTGTTTGAATATGCTCTTGAGGCTAATTATGTACAGGGATAGATGAGCCATTTTTTGACATCATACGTTAGTCTCAGAAACGGGAATTGTTCAGCTAATAGTGTTCACAGCTCAACGTCGAAATTTTAGCCTTCAAATCCATGCGTGTCTATAATTATCCGTGATTGAATGTTAAAATGACGATTCGTCAATTTAAGATTCTCTATGACATAATTATAGGAAAGACATATATAGAAATAGAGAGTAGAAATTACTAGTTTGAAGTATTTTTGCAGGAATTGTGCGATTTTCGTACATTTCAAGTACTTTAGTACTTCTAGTAATTTACATATATTCAAGACTCAAATCAACAACAAAAAAAAATGACGCACATGTCCCTTTAAGTTTCAACAGAGGATCACGTATTTTAATTGATCGGAAACACGACAAACGACATAAAGTGAGTTACCACACATTGTTGATACACAACTTTCTTCAATACCCAATACTTTAATACAATGTTTCATATTTCAAAACCATAACACATTAAAACCAATGCAGTATACATAAAAATCAAAATCATATGAGCAAAATATTGTTAACCCGAAAATTAAACGTGTAACTGGACAAAATATTGCATCAATCCTACTATACAATATTTCGAAACATAGAAATGCCCTGTATAAAAAAAGATAACAAAAATTATATAAAAATCCGATAGAAAATTATGGCACATTAAAAGTTATAAATAGCAAAGCCTGGAGACAGCAAATGACAATTTGTGGGAAAATATTTAAAGTGAAACCATGACAGGGTCGATCGGGAAAGATCTTTGATATCCATGTGATCCAGCGAACTTCAGCTGCCGATTGAAATCCACTGAGCGGGGAAGAAATCCTCATATCTAATAAATTTACCGAGGGCAGAATTTTCCCGAATAAAGTCTTTGTAATACACTACATACCCTTTTGCAAGCCAGGCGCCCCAATAACCCAATGTGCTCACTGTTATTATAGAGTGGTCGCAAATACTCAACATCGCGAGCTGAGATTCCGGACTGACGTCATCGTCTACGATCACTACGTCATGATCTTTGATATACGCCTGACACCAATTAATATCATCACATACAGCCAGAAACTTCACATTTTTAAACTTGTCTCTCATATGTTTCATGGCTTTTTGAATATAACTTATTGGTGCTATGTTACTTTGAGAGATACCGTTCATTGAAATGGTATGAGATCTTGAAACGTGAATCCCTATCACGGTAACTTCATCAGCGTTGGCAATAAATTTATTAAATCGAGTCTGAGTCATTTTTAGAATGTATCCTTTGAGACGGAATTCTTGTCGAACTGTTTGCTCAACAGTATAAAAATATTTCCAAGATTGCAAAAAGCCGGCTATCGTCACGTTCCTTTCAGGGAGATCAATTATGGTCTCGTCGTACGCCATTGGAATCAATTCAGATTGCTTGAACCAACATTCCGTATTATCAGATGATATGTATTTGAGGTTAAATATGTTTTCTAACGCAGTATCAGCAGGAAACAAAATCCGTCTGTTCTTCAGGTTTCCTAATCCTAATAATGAAGCATACTGAAACATGAGGAGATCAAAGGAATGGCCGAGATCAGAGACTGTTAGATATAATTTGTGAGAGTTCGATGACTGATCATTATAACAAATACCCGTTTTATTATGGCGATAGAAATAGTTCATATAGACCCTGTAGATGAAAAAGATAGAAATAATAACCAGAATTATCACAGACGACTTCCTTAATTTCCGTTTCCGACCACCGAAGTTGATACTAGGCATTATGCTGATATTGAGCTTACTACTTCTATACTCAAATATTGGAATTATTAAAACCTCAGCATATGAATGGATATTCTTCTCTCACCAACGCCTATTTCACTCTACCTGAAATTCATAAGTGTTAGCAGGAAATAAGGGGCTTGCTACTAATGCTAATGGAAAATAGGTGGCGCTTCTATAAATCATTGTGTGTTGGGCCGAAAAGGAACCCCAAAATTGTCAAGGAAGGGTCACAGGCATATCTGTCCCTTTGTAAAATTATAAGTTAAAGAAGGGCAGGGGCGTGGGCAAAGTCAGGAGGGTCTCTAATCTAAGGGGGGCACAACCTACCCCCTAGCCTTACCGTCGAAAAAAATCAACTGACGATAGGCTACGGTCCTATTTATACTCATAGACATATAGAAATAAATCAACAAGAACTTGTAGAACATATTATTTAAAACATAACCGACCAAAATACGGACGATTCATCATCTATCTAAAGAGCCAAAACGATAAGTAGATAAACATCGGGCACCTTAAGGCGTCTTGATAACGTTTCTACAAATCTGGCTTCGTGTACACAGTAGTACATGTACGGCTAACTACATTTTCCCAAAAACCTGCAACCATAAACTGCTTTAATCAGCAACTTATCAATTAAAATCAATTAACATAATTCATTTACTCATATAATAAATCTACACAAATATAACTCACTTTCCCCAGACACAAAATCATTAGTGCATAAGCGTCATTCCAATAACATAAACAAAGTCTAGCCTAACCAGTCTTTCTATAACTGAGACAAATCGACCTGAAACGATGTCATTTCGAACAAACTGTTAAAAACTTCTCACGATCATTACTTTGTCGTGATTTAAGCGAAAATCCTTTTTTCTTTACGTTTTGCATTCTTCTAATGCATTTGTTATGAGAAAAATCCCAGGACTTCACTTTTTCATATTGATCACGTGATAAGTCAAAATGGCGGATATCGTTGTTGAGGAAAAATCGTCTGCTTTTTCTAAATAAAAACAATTTATTCTGTGAAGCTAAAGTGGCAAAGCCATGAAGTAGGTTTAAAATGTGTGCAGAATAGCCTACACTTCAATTTAATTTATCTTGATTTATCAAGAAGAGACGAAGAATGAATTCACATTAACTTTTGTATTGTATGTTACTTCGTCATCAGAATCAGACTGATCAGTGATGACATTGATGAACAAAATGACCATCGTATCGTAGACACATCAACTCCAAGGCCTATGACCTAACTACTAACGTCTTGCTTGTAATTCCAAACACAAAATGTTGGGTCTAGCTTGTTTGAGAAATCACTAAATCGATCATCTAACTTGAAAAATTTGTGTTAGGACAAGGAGTAGGCCTAAACCTAACCCTAATGCCATACCAAGTGGCTATCACTTACGTAGATTTCTTTCGTTGATTTCGTTGAACTGTGTTTTTTTTTTATAAAACATTATTCATTTTTTCCAGAAGATAACCCAATCCAGAGTGATAGATCTAAGCTAAAGATAGGTGTTCAACTAAAAGTAAAAAATGCTAAATAATGACGAACTTTGGTTGACGGGAACTGTTCAAAATCAATTCGTACTTTTCTTCGGAGGTTTTTTAGCCATCACATTCTTTGCAGCGTTATTATTAGCATATACCAAGAGACGAACTAGTGTAAGCACGAGTAGGCTATTATCATTGCATTGAATTTTTTGCAAAACCAAACCTGCATGTCGTTCTCCAAGAGGTTTACGTATTGCTTGTCTGTAACTGGGCCGGGGAAGACGAGCAACGTCATACGGTGTGCAATGAGTGAAATTTTATCGTGGACAGTGACACTCTTTCAATATCCTGCTGGAATCCTTTAAGCATAGAATGGTTTGGTTTACTATTATATTCTAATGACTAGACCCTTTTCACATGTCATCTCCCCAGCAATGCATCACTGATATTCTCAATTAAATTGTTTTTTTAATATTTTATCCCTAAAAACGTTCTGTAAGCGTTTTTTTTCAGAATGATCTAAATATTTATTGTATATTTACGTAACTTAATATGCTTACACTTGATACAACTTTCTTTGTAGCCTTGTGTAATACCTCTATCGACTCCCCGAGAAAATGACAAAATCGAAGAATATATTGTCGCGGTGTACACCTCTCCATGGCCAGGTAAAGATTGAGATCTTATTTTTATCCCTTAATGAGATAGACAGTTATTTGACGATGCTTCCTGTACTTGCTAATGAAGTACTGAAAATGCTAAATACGATTCCCGTATCATTTTTCATAATCAAAACCCGACGTCAACTCTAAACTGTTGCTACTTATGTCAGATGACTTATGAATATTTCCCTCAGATATGGCAAAAGCTGGCAACTAATTATGTTCTTATAATCTTTGTAAGACATATAGAAGGAAGAAGGTAAACATTAAGAACACAAGTTATATGGATATACTACTTCTAGTTTTATTACATACTACGTTTCGAAAAACATACAGGTAATGTTATCAAGTATAATGTTACCTGTATGTGTTTCGAAACGTAGTATGTAATAAAACTAAAAGTAGTATATCCATATAACTTGTGTTCTTAATATCATGTTCTTTATTACAAAATTTAACAGTCAAATTAACTTGGGGCCCTTTTTGGGGGTGCGAGTCCCCTTAAGGGGTGGGACCCCTAGGACACGATTCGACCAGTCCCTGTGGTAGTTGAGCCTTTGAAAAAAAACGTATTCCATTGCTGTTATAACCGAAATATTATTTTATATCCTTTAGGATCGAGATGTCCACCGTCTACCAGTGTGTACGTTAATCTCAATGGTCTTTTCCATGAAAGTGGTTCCGTTCTGCTCAGAAAACAGAAATCAAATCGACAGATATTCACTCGAGGTTCCATTGATATGTTTGTGCTGCATACTAAAGGTGGGTTCAGAAAAAGTCTCATTTGGCAATTCTCGACAGTTTCCGTAAAGCTGAATCTGCAAATAACCAACCGTAAAACTGCAACTACAAAAACTGCCGAGGATTTCCGAATGCTGAATCTGTTGCAGAGCGTTAGCAGAGCTTTGACTATAGACCGTGTGGATTGGTCAACATTGTCTCTATCATACAACATCATACTTACTTGTAGGTTCAAGTTTCACAAGATTTTAATAGCATTGAACGTAAATTTATATCCTAATCTAATGGAAAAATCAATTCAAATAAGATGTTATGACTTAATGTCCTGGATTGAAATGATCACAAAAGAAAAAAATATTTATTTATTTTTAACCTTAGAAATTTTGGGAAATTTGCAAAATTTGGAGCTGGAACTAAAAAATTCACACGAAGATACTTCCAACTGGTAAGTATGGATTGCAATTGAAAGGAATTACAAAAGAATTTGCTTCCTAGCTGTGGTTCATGTAATTACTTTGAATAATTTTTGTAAATACCTTTTGTTTGGAAACTCAAACATAGACCAGAATACGATCCTCGTTTAAATCAAGTTCAATTTTTGGCTTAAGAAAGGTTCGATCTATATTAGACAGACAATATTTCACTCTACTCTTCAGCCATCTGATTCGATTTCATTTGATGTATGGATTTTTATCATATCGCCATTCACCGATACATATATAACAAGACATTTTACAAATCCAATTAGTCAGCAAGCGATAAATTTCTTAGCGTTACCATTTCAATTTGTCTGATATGATACTTCTCTAAGATTAAAGGGACGGATTCGCCAGCTGTTTGACCAATCGTACCCTAGTCTCAGAAACTGGGCTAAGCTAATAAGTAACCGTGAAATTTGCGCCTTCAAATGCACGTGTCTCCAGAATTATCCGCTTTTGAAAGTTGAAATAACGTCTGTCTTTTCTTGAGATTCTGCCATATATAGAACTGTCCCTTTAAAATGAGATTAATGATCTAGAATACACGACAGATTCATGACAGGTCCACGATTCACTGGATATAAGTCTTTTATTGAAATGAATTTTGAATGTTATGTTGCCAATTTCTCAGATAAATTTGGAAAAGAATTCCCGAGAATTCAAGAGTATTTGGAGTCTTGTCGCTGTCTATATATTTTTTGAAGTTTTATTACTGCGGGTTTGAACATCAGTCCGATGTAAAGTCGTTTTTGTAATCATACATTTTGTGATGTGATTTTGGTCATAGTCTAAGTTTCGCCTTATACCTCTTCAAGTCGGAGTCGGTTACCGTTACAGCATTGAAATAGTTCAGTCTGTAGTTAGCTGCGCTGTCGTGTGCCAATTGATGAGGTGTCATGGCTTCGAATCCTCCTCAAGATAATGATGTCACTACTAGTGCTTCCGAAAGTCCCCCCCCCCCATCTTCACCTAATCAGCATATTCATCAGCTTATAACCTTCCAACCCCCCTCACTCTAAGAGATCTTTTTATGCCTGTAACCACCAACAGATATGACGGATTTCTATTTACGTGTCTTTTTTTACGAAGGAAACCACAGAAGTTTGAAATCTATAAATTTGACTCAAGGGAACGATGGATTGCTGATATTATTCCATCGCTGAAGTGCCAGAAACACCTGACAGAAAAAGTAAAATTATCAAAATTGCCCGTACAAACCCCTAGGTATGTTATTTATTAGCTTTACACGCTGCACTAGCTTTGTCTAACAGGTGCCCTTGACTTGCACTAATCTGTAACACGTCAATGGAAAAACGATCTCTCTAGTGAACTATTCTAAATGGGGGCCAATATTGAACCTATCTTTCCCATCTTTCCCACAGTGTGCACGTTTACGCTCCGGATACATAATTGTCGGCATTAGATCCGTTCGACTTTAATTGCTAGACACAGTCAAACTTGGGAATTAAGAAAATCGATTTGCAAAGAACGATAAGTCATTTAAAATCCTAGGTTCTCTGCTGTCATGGTAATTTTCATGACACATAAGATGGAATTTGTTAAGATAAGGAGTTAAAATCATATGATGTTTTCTACTGTCACTCTTTCTGGCCTAAAAAAATCTCCCCAGAAAACTAAGACGTAAAGCTCAATTACGTTCATAAAATCTATTTTTTTTTTGCAGATGGAAGAGATACATCATGAATTTCCTGGGATATCATTATTGGTTCTTCTACCTGTCCAATCCGCATAGTTTCGGCATCTTTTCTACCACAGTGAAAACCTTGCTGACATTTTTCGCCGAGACTAGTTTTATGTTCAGCAATATCATGTGCTACATAGTGTACCACGAGCCCGATGGTGTTATGAACCTATCCGCCTCAGTATATGTAGGCTCCTTACTTGCATTATTCAGTTCCTCAATAGTCATACTGGGTATAGAATATGCATTGTGTAATATACGCCCGACTTTCCAAAGACAATATCATGGTTTACCCATAGCATTCGTTTCTAATGATACAACCGAACGATTAAAAAATTTAGAAGTTTACTGGGAAGGATCGGATGCTTCTTCTTCTACTGATGAGGATAGTGATATCAAAATCTCTGGACCTATAGCCGAAATTCGAAGCAAAAAAGCAGCTATCAAAGCAAAAGAAGCACTAGAAGCAAAGATGGAGAAAAAGAAGATGGCCAAAAACAGAAAAAGAACTCGGAGAAACCGAAGACAATTTCCAGAGAAGAGAAACAATGATACTGTAACTGAACATAAAGATTCAGAAAATAGAGCTAAAGATCAGTCCCGTGTTCCTACGAGTGGTTTTGAAGGATCTAGAAAAAACGGGGTAAAATTTGCACCAAACGTTAACAAATCTAATCCGAGGCTTAACAAGTCATGTGACCACCAGCAGGTCGATCACTTCCAGAAAGAAACAGACCACGTGTCAGTAGACTTAACACCTATTGAGGTCAAGCATTTATGGTTCAAAGGGCGCCAGTCATCTAAGCGTTTACCCGGGGAGCATATGAAGATCTATACTGATTCCAATGATGTTTGGGAGACCGGTAGTAGCAGGACATCACTTTTAACGATTGATTCAGTCCAAAATTCATCGTACGCCCCACACGACACACCACTTAGTTTATGCGAACGGGGACAAGTAACTCAGGACGAAACTAATCTGAACTTTTCTTCATCTACAGACACTGGAGCAAGATGTCAGCTTCTCGACACGACCAGAAAGTTTGCTACGCGTACTTGGAACATGATCTCGAATGCCGATATCAAGAAATGGTGGTTCGAAGATCGGACACCCGATAAACCGGCCCAAGGCGAACATTTGCACAATTATAAGACGCATTCTGAAGATTGGGAAACAAAAAGTAGCAGATCATCTCTTTCAGAAATCTCTGAAGTTCCTCAACAAGTAATTGATTCCTTACGGCCGAAAATTGACAACTTCGATTTAACTCCAAGCGATTCAGTAACATTCAAATCCGAGTCGGATACTTCAGTTCATTTGACTAAGAGTATTGAAATGCAGAGCGGAACCAGTGACGACCAGCTTCTGTGTAACAAGGGACCAAATAAGAACGTAAAATCGTATAGATCAACACGGACTGCAGAACTGCATCCTAACCGACGAAAAAGAAGACTTGCCAGTGAAAAACAAAATAACGCTACATATAGGTTAACAAGCAACGGTGACACTCAAATCGGGGGTTCGTTATCTGCGTTGGCCCTACAATACCTCAAGCAAGCAGTTCCCGTCGTATATGCTTCTTCCCCAGAAGATGACGACGATGACGATGGCTCTGTTCGCTTTATTCATAACACTAAAAAGAAAAACATCTTCGATGTTCTATCACCATCGAAAGTAGGAGAAGATTCTCAGAAAATCGAACCAAGTCCGTCGGATAATAACGAGATACCCACTGCAGAAATAACAAGCTTAATACGGAAGAAGTCAAAAAGAGCGCCCGATTCTGCATCATCCTATACAGGCACACCTTGTACAGATACCGAAGGATTTATAAAACAGCCACAACGCAAATCATCCAATATGTTGCATAGTGGTCTACCTTTAATCCAAGAATTTGATCCGGATACAAGACCCAAAGTCATAGCGTTCAATGTAAAGCCTGAGATCCAAGGCTCCTCATCAAAATTTCCCACAAGAAAGTATGGACCATCTTCTTCTCAAGCATCCGAAGCCTCGCAAGAAACCACTGCAGTAACTCCATCAACGTGCACTATAGGTCTCGCTGCTGCAGCATCACTAGGTGGTGCTTCTATTACTGCACCAGATATAGCATCTTCACCTGCAGCTTCATCAGTTAATCAGGTAACCCAAACCTCTCCCATTATTGCTTCTAAGGCTTCACCAAATTATTCACTCAAAGATGTTCCTGATGTCGTATCTGTAGCTTCATCGGATAGCACAATACCAGATTCTCCAGAAATGGAACCCGAAGCATCACCAGAAGCATCATACACGATATTGAATGTTGAAGATGAAGACGCTGTGCTTGAGTTCGAACTAGAGAAACAATTTGAAGAATTTATGACAATTTTAAATGATCCATATTCAGACGAGGCGATGGATTTATATTTTGGAACTAAAAAGCAAATGCCAGATATTCTAGAAATTGTCTCTTATTGTACAGCATTTAGAAGTCAATCTGGATGGTCCATTGATCCTTCGTCAGCATCCGTCCGCTCACCATCTTCCTGTTCTTCAGCAACAACGGTGCGAGAAAATAATTACAGGATAAAAGACCACGGAATTTCTTCTAGCATGGAAATGCTAGAGAAGATAGCTGAAGCAGTCTCCAAGCACATCCCGGGATCGTCACGATCAGCATCAACCGTGACCGGCAGCTTGAGTCTTCAAGATAACACATCTAATGAATTACGAAGATTGTCGTCTGAAACCTCCTGCCGCACGACGTTTACCGATCCGTATCTATTACGCCCCTTATATCCTTCAGAATACAGAATAACCGATTCGGATTTCCTGTCGAAGTGTCAGTTTTCATGGTTGACATCCGCTACAGATTCTGATAAAAACTTCATCCCCAACTTGCTTCAGATCATTCTACTCGATATCGACAGCCTGATGACAAACGATCGTACATGGGCGTCCTTGGGAAAGAAAACCCGCACTTGGTACGTAATGGTATGCCGTAACTTATGGAATCAGATTCAAACACATATGCTGGACAGGGACTTTGTCATAAAACAAGATATAAGGTTAAAGAGGATTCAGAATCGAGAGAAGGAGGAGAATTTCTCACAGGTCGTAAGTGGATCGTCGTCGTCAGAGATTGACTTGAACACATTGCTTTCAGCGACTGCAGTATCGGATGAGTCCGAAAGAAGCGAAGCAAGGTGTGTTCTCCTCGACCAAGAAGTGGATTGCTATTGTGATTGTGGACGAACAGAGTGCAACCAGGTACAAAATATCTTCTCAGATCTGTTATTATTAGCTTCGTCGATTCTTAGTCAAACCGTGTCAGACCTCTATAAACTGATCAGTCAGTCCGAACGGATCTCACAAGAAGCCTTGCTCGATCTGTGTGATTCTATAAATAGATCTATTGAAATAGCTTCATATGATCTTGCCGCTGTTGCCATTGAACCGGACCTTATAACATGCTATGAGGATCTCTGGTCCTTTCCAGTAGATCCCGGACATCAAGTTCTGGCTTCCATAATAGTTCACAAATCTTTAAGACGAGGAGCTGCAATTTATGAATTTGAATGGCATCTGGGCAAAAGAGCATACTTTCTTGTATCCGAAGTAATCGATGCAGCCGTTGGAGATGTTGGATGCGAAATATATGAAGACACAGTAATCGCTAAACTCTGTCAAGATGCCATCAAAGAAGCAACGCAAGAAGTGTTGCAAGATTTCGCTGACCCAATACATATTTTCACTCAACATGCTATTAAGCATAAACTAATCCGTATCACTAAAGACATAGTGAGATCTCAACATCGGTTATCATTTATCGAAGATGTGGTCAAACTGCTGGCATCTTTATGGAGACTTGAGGGTCTCGATCTTTCTGTTGACATTACATCGAGATTAGTTGAAGCTTTGATTACAAGAATTTTCAAGGAGCAACTCAAAGACACCAGAATCTTTTCCAATTTGGTCCAGCTGAAGGAAATTGAGCAAGGGATCAATCGGTTTGTAAGAACAGCTATTCTGTGTGCGACAAATAACCTGCTTGTTTGTATTGAAAATGGCGAACCACTTAATCAAGCAAATCTTACAAGTATCATTGAACAGGTTGCGGACTCTGATTCCAAAGAATCAAAAGAAGCTCAGGGTATCTCAGTAACAGCTGAAAAGACCCAACGACAGACAAACAATTTACCGAATGTGCAGAAGGATCGGAGATTAAGCAAACAATACTCGTCAGACAAGGGCCGTTCCATTTCAACCATAAGAAAAATGCCGCAAATTTTAGCCGAAGAAATAAATTTCAATATAGATGTTGCATCTGCAGCTGTATATTACTACCTCGTTGATCAAAGTTCCATTATATTCGATGAATATACTTTTGATTTGGAAATATCTTCCATGGTAGACGATATAATTTTGAAGGCGAGGAACTCTCTCATAGCAGATCAGTTGAGGGTAAGTACCATTGCTTTGTCGAATACTCAATGAGAATCAAAGCGTTGATATAGATTTCTATGAGGTTTTAATGAGGGTGCCCATGGGTTTCAAGAATGCCCAGAGGATGAGATTCCACGGCTTTCTAGGTGCTCAACGGAGTTAATATTACAACTGTCATGTGCAAACAGGTGCCCAAAACATGATTTTGCTACTAAGGGGATACATTTCTATGATCCAAAGACTAGTTGACCATTCTAGATGATCAATACAAATACATGTAGTTTTATTTTTATTTGGTGAATGATCTCCCTCGGATACGCTTTTTTGATATTCCTCAAATACTCAAACTCTTTATTTTAGAAAATAGCCATGGAAGAAAAGGCAGAAAGATCAAATATATATTCAAGCGATGAATTTGCGCCTTCGGACATGTACCTGAAGATGAAAAGCTGTCTAATATCTTATGATGTACTGATGGACGCTCAGATATCACTTATTGAGGTATGTCTTTTGTTTCTTAATAAAAGTGCAGTAGGAATAGACGATAACACTTTTATTTCGACATTGTATTTATTAAGCAGGAATTTTAAAAATAGTGCTGTTTCAAAGTCGTTGCTCTTAACAACTGCAATTCGGAAAAGCGATGTCTTATACCTGAGCATATTTGACGCATATTTAGGTTAGGGTTACCTCATAATTTGTATTATTTCTAAGTTTGGGAATATTTTTTAGGATTCTATTGGTGATCCATTTACTCTAGATTCAAAAGAAATATATGACCTCAGAAAAGGTAAGTGTAGAAGCAAAATAATACATTTTTCGCAACTTGTCCAGTAGAGAGAGCTGCATATTGATGCTACAGTATGTTTTACTTCATAGGCAAAGCTGGGATCATCTAATAACAAGTTACAGAACTACCTCTCAATGAGATTGTAAAGAGAGTTTCAATTCTTTCAATTTCCAGTCAGACGTCTGTGGTTTTTGAAACGAAGTGTATTTCGGGGCCTATGCGGTACTGACGCCATTATACACTAACCTTTAGTGAAATTGCAAGAACAACAGACATCTCACTGAATATTGTAATGGTGCAAATTGATGCTATCAATGTCCCCGATATAGGTAAAAAGTTTAGAAAACCCATTACACCCAAATGATTGATTGAATATCGTTGCAGAATTAGGACCTTTGAAAATGTACTCAGAGTTTCTGGACCAGGACATACAAAATAGGAATAAACAAGAAATGATCAAAGAATTGAAGAGATACTCCAAGAGACATCGTGATTATGTGACGATTAATCTTCAAAATGTTGCCGATTCGCAATGTATCACCAACAACACGCCAAATTACGATGACCGAGATCTGTATTTACTAGAATGGTATTTGACGGGCCAGCTTCAGAAACAATTCTCCCCAGCTTTTAGAATTCCTTTGTTGATGATTATGTTTCTGTTCACCCTATTCTGTATAGTGTTTATTTCTTTGAAAGGTGCCGAGTTGACCATTATTCAATGTCAGGAGTGGATAAGCCTGTACCTTCTCACTTCCCTTTTCTTTGCCTGCATTGTAACTACCGTTAAGGCGCTATGTATAACATGGTTCCAACCCGATGATGAACCGTTTCTTTTACATTGGAAATGAGACATGACCAAATTAAAACTTCATGGTATTTGGGTTTCTGATATACCGGCAATGAAGCATGTAATCTTGAGAGCATGGTGCATAACATGGTTCAAAACAGGTACCAAACCGAATCGTATATACACCGGCAATGTAACATGCCTTGACCGTGTTAGAAAGCATGGGGCAAAACTTTTAGTTATACTAACTGCAACTGCAAACATTTATGATTTGACATTTATCATTTTGTTTGAACCCAAAATTTCTTCCTTTCTTTTTAATTGAAAACCATTTGACATGTTCAAAACTGACATCTTGGCATTCAATTAATGATCAGAGTGCAGTGTTATTTCTTCAAACGTTTACAAAGCAGTGGGGGATAAACTGGGATTTGCAGGATTAATTGTTGTTGCTCTGCTGTTGTTATAAGTACTTGTATATAATTGTTCATGTAATAATTTCGTTTGTTAGATTATAACAATTTTTTGATGTTGTGTTTTAGTGTTGTTCCCTTACTGTAGTGGCGTTTCTAGGAACGCACTGGCTATTTGCACCGTCACCATGCGTGTTCTCTATGGCTGCTAACAACGGTACGGATAAGAAAGGACACAATAGGCGCGCTTATTATTTTTTTAAAGCTTGAGGCCATCAAGAATGATATTAAGTGGGTTAGGTAGGGATGGTTTTTTAATGCCCATTTCTGTACCGTCGCGGTACGAATAGCCACAGCCTTCTAGAAATAACCAGGTGGAAGGGCCGAGTAGGGGCATAATTGTTAAGGGGGGCCAAAAGCACTGGGCTTTAACAGGGGAATGGTCACAATTTTATAACTGGGTGGCCTCGGTTTATTTCCCGTCTGAAAGACTTGATGACCCTCCTACCTGCATCATACCAACATACGCGTACGGGAAGGCAGGCTGGTTTGTCCAAAATTCCCCACGATATTTACCTGAAATTTTCTTGGTTTTCAGGTTGTTGCGCTATATATTTCCTTCGATGCCCTCAAAGATGATATTTGCTGCCTCCAACCCCGTCCCTTGTCTCTTACCAAATTTATATGGCTCTAATCTCTTTGAAATGAAATGAAATTTTAGTCCCCTTTTCTATCAAAGCCTTAATAAGGTCCATAATTAATAATTTATTTGATTTACATTATATACAAATTGGATAATAAAATACATGTACTTACAACTGGAGGTGATTATATATTCAAAACAAAGTCTGGAGACAAGAATAAAATCATCTTCACAATGTCAAGCTATTACGAACTTCGTCTAATACCTTGACTAAAATAGTAACCTTTTTTGTATCACAGGTACTGAAGTTTGTAAATGAAGCTATTTGATTGGATTGTAAGCTAGCGAATACAGCCAATCGGAGGCCTTGACTGAACGTCTGTGAACACAATGCCATAATGTTTAAAGCCTTTCTGTCGAAGGCTCTAATTGGCTGTAGTTACTGGCGTACAATCCAATCGTTGCATTCCCTGATTCAGGAAAGATGACTAATGTATTCAAGGTATAAGTAGGTAATAGCTTGACAATCTGGAGACAATCTGGAGACAAAAGTCAAATAAATAGCAATAATTTACATCAGAAATTCACATGAAACAAAAAACCAGAGTGATAAATGATGCCAATCAAATACATGAACATTTTATTCAGAAATAGAGATAAATAAATGGAGCTAATTATTGGTAAAATATTAGAAAATCTTATAAGTCATGGACATAAATAATAAATGCATGAAGTTCTATCCATTAGCAAAAAAAAAAATTGGGAATTCTTACAGAAAAAAAAATCAATTATTAAATTTACGTAAATGTATTATTACAAGAAACTGGATATGGAGTATCACAATTAAATTGTATAATGCATTTAAATTCAAGTCAATTCAAATAGAGGACAAAAGTAGCTTAGAAATAACCAATCACATAAAGTCTTTAAATGGCATTTAGTAATTGTGAGTATGATATATAGACACAGCTTTATGGAACAACAATCACTGGTTAAAGTTATATGCAACGTTTCGATGTGTTTCCCGTCCCACTTCGAAACGTTGCATAAAACTTTAACCAGTGATTGTTGTTCCATAAAGCTGTGTCTATATAACCAATCATATGCCATTAAAGGAATACTACCACTTAGAATGGACATAAAGTTTCATTTGGTCAATAAGTTCCATTATCATCATCATCATCATCATCAAAAAATATTCGAAATTCTGACAATTCTGAATATGATAAAATTCATGTAAAATGTAATATTCCATGAAACCATATCTATCACAATTATATACATTTCAGAGTGAATTCAGATTGAGAAATAACAGAGTCTGGAATTAGAAATAAGAATCCATACAAGCAAGACAATTCCCTGAATCAATATCTTGTCCAAAGTAATTCCAAAGTAATGACAAATCGAGAGTAAATGTTGTATAGTAATAGACTAGCTCAAAGAGAAGTGCCATCAGGTGTTTTGAAAAGAGTAAGCATGGTCTCCTTAAAAGCTATTTCCTTTATAACTTACACCTGGTGAAAGATAGTGCTCCGAATGAAAAATTTAAAAGGGAATAATTGGTAAAAATTTTTTATTTCAAATTAGATAGCAAACTTTGAGAGAGAAATCATGCAATATTTAAATAAAATCTACAATTTTCTTTCTTTGTGTATATACAATAACTAGGAATATTTAGATACAATTTAGCATTAAACTACAAAATCAAAAAAATAAACAGCCTGGCATCCTTAAAAAATGTACATATTGTATGTTAGGCTATTTATAACTGAGTCCACTAAGACCTGGAGAGAAAAAGATAATGCTCTGGGGCCTTATTCTCTTAAACTTTAATACTATAATCTGATTGGATAAAAAAAACTAAATTTAAAATCAATTTTTAGTGATTGACCAATCAGATGACTCGGACACTAAAATCCTCTTAAGTACAAACGGCCTCCGTGAAAGTTACGCTAGCGCTCTGCATTAGATTCAGCTTGCGGAATCTGCCGAGGATTGCCGAATGCTTAAGTTTTCACGAATATGGCCCCAGAGTGTAAAATGTAAAAGAGAAATAGTAGGCCTACCTACTTTAATATTGCACATTAATAAAGAATACAAAATTCAATTGAAAAAATGGATGGTATATTATGTATGACACTCTTTAAACAGTGTGGAAATGAGATACGATATTTTGCAATGAGTTGTAAGGATTAAACAGCAAGGGATACAGGCCTCTAATTATTTGTTATAAAGCTAAATGACACCTCCTTTAGCCATGAGACACAAATGAAAAGATAATCTTACATATACATGTCAGACTGAAAATAGGTCAGTTGTCTCAGTTGTCTGAAGATCGCATAGCGTGAAACTCTGAGTAACAACATGACTAGGGTTCTGTTTTAATGTTGGTATTTCTATTTGCTTAGTATACTAACAATTGTTAAATGTCATTGTTTTATAACATTGTAAATGATAAGCATTTAAACAAACTTATTATTTGCGTAACACAGCAGCTGAATAACAGCTTTAACAGTCCAAGTCCCAAATAAGAGTGACAACATTCATAATTTGGCTTTAAAAACGGCTTGTACAGCACGCCAATAATTCAATAATTAGAGAACTGCATCCCTCTAACTGTTTCATGATGAAAATCAATGAAAAATTCATGGAATGTGATTTTAAGATGATGAATTTATACAATCAGGTGAAATTGAATATCTACAGAAAATATTTTACAAAGGTGAAAGAAACCATTTCTCTCATTTCCACAAGGGAGAAAATGTTGTATGTCACTAAATGAAAACATTATTCAATATAAAAAAAACTAACCCTCCCCAACACTGAGAGTGAATAAAATGAAACGTAATATCATCTAAAGTGTATGACGTTAACAAGATGTGATTTGACATCACTTAGCAACAGTCGCTCAGGTTATCAATTATTAATTGATTTGATTTTAGAGAAGATTCCAAGTCTGCACTATTTGCTGATACTTGTAATTTTAACATCGGAAAAATAACCTCCATGTCCAAAATTAGTAGTCTATCAAAACCTTGCATAAAGTATACAAATTCTATATAGTATGAATTACACAACTGATTTTCTGGAGAAAATTGTTTTGGCTCACTTGCATTAGCTAAACTACAGTCGCCAACATTTGTGAGTTTACAGCACACTCAGTTTTTACCCTAAAAAGGACTTGTCAAACTGGGGGTGCAAAATTTTCTTCACCAGAAGTTTCGAAGTTCCATTCATATATTGGTGTATGAGAATTTCTCTGTTTCTGAACAGAATTGACATGATAAAAATGTAATTAATTCAGAATATGAATTGTATATAAAATACCTGATAATAATATTCATAATGGTGTCCACAAACGGAATCATGTACACACCAATATTCTATCACACCCAATATCAAGTCATTAATGTTTGACCATTTCCATATTATTTTGGAGCAGTAATTTTTAATCCAAACAGAATGTGTACACCCAACACATTCTATCACATCAAAAATCCCAATGTGAAGTCATTGCAGCTTTTAACTTTTTACCATTTCCATTCACCATTTTACCATTGTATCTGTTATACCAAACAGAATCATGTACACTCAACATCACATCCAAATGTAAAGTAATTTCAGCTTTTCGCCATTAAAAAACTACTCTTGGTGCAACAATTGTTATACAAAGTAAACGTTCTTACTGAATTTCAAACTGAAGTATAACAATTTCACTAGTTGTCAATAATTGCACAAATACAATGGCGCGATAAATATTATTCCAACAATATCTCCTTTATAGTTTTCAGTATCTGATTGAAACTGACTTTCTAAGAGAACACCTCACACACCCTTCTTCTAAACCTGAAACACGACCTTAAAACTGCTCCGTTGACCTCCTGCCAGCCGTTCCCTGAACACCATTCAACCCACAAGCAGATTCCGATGTACTGTAACGTTTTAATGAGGGTGAATATCTAAACCGGGTCTGTGGTGGAACACTTTTGCTGAAAATACAAACAACTTGTCAGGAGTCGTAAAAATATGCTTAATCATTATTATCATCATTATCATTATTATTCATCATCATTCTTCATTATTATTTTTTACCTTGAACATCATTATGAAACATTTATTTATTAAAATCATTTTTTCATCATTATAATGAATGGAATGGAGTACTTTTACAAAAATACTAGCAATTAGACAGGGGGGTAAACATCTAATGTAAATACTTGATAATGAAAATTCCCAGTTTTTACATTCATAAAAAAAAAATAACTAAGTCTGAATGAAACCCAATATTGGTTACAATATATTCTTTCTATGGAAGTTCCTGCTAGATCTTATACATCAAAGTATTTGAGATTTACCACATTAACTGGGTATAATGTCAACATGTACTTTTAAAGAGAAAAAAAAATATTAAATTTGTTCTATTTTGGCTTCTATTATTAAAGCAGGTCATGAATAGTTATTAGATACGAAAGGTTTTTACATGTCAGTTTTACTGGATTATTACTTTCATCAAAACATGTTGTTTAATATCCTATGGCTTGAAGCCTTCAAAGTCTTTAAGACTTGTATTAACTTTAATATTAGTTTTCTATGAACTATGAACTGTTATGTCATTTAATTAAACATACTTCATTATCTTCTCTCTTAAGTGATTATAAAGAGGTTTTCTAAGTTTTTTTTATGTATATCCAATGGGGACACTGATAGCATCGATTTTCACTATTCCAATTTTCAGTCAGACGTCAGCAGTCAGACGTTTATGACTAATGCAATTTCACAAAAATAAGTGTTTGATGACGTCACTAATAGCAAATTATGCTTGTATCACATAAGGCCATGGCGATTAGTGACGTCATCAAACACTGACTGTGACCTCGTCAAGTATGATTGGAAATTGGATTGGTGCAAAACGATGCTATCAGTGTCCCTAATACACATAGAATTCTTAAAAAAAAACCTCTTTACAATCCCATTAATTCCCAGCTTTATATTTTTACAGGGCCTATGCATAGTTTCAACAATTTACATGGTCTTCATCAGTTTAAATAGTATACTACTCCTAGGTGTTAT